TGGAAGGTGGCAAGCGGCAAACTTTCATTTTGGCTCCATGCATTTCGCTGACATTGAAGGAGGTGCACGAGATCCACGAAAACTCGCTGGTTGGCCACCAGAAATAAGAAAATTCCTAGCGTTCCCCCACGAAATTCTCTGGTGATTTGAAGTCTTTTGGTAAGATGTCCTTAAACTATTCCTCAAAAAAGAAAACTATAGCCAGACTGGAAACCAATCAAGGTTGCAACTGCAACTCAGGAAATTTGCATCAGTTTTGGGATCCCAGCTGACCCAATTATCCAATTTGGCGTGTCCAATCGATTCGGGACTTTCAATTATCACAAACCTAATCCCGCTTCGCAGCAGATTCTAATTCGACAGATAGAATATATTGCCGGGCGAGGTGTTGTCCTGCCAAAAGGGACTCGCTTTCAATTTAAGTCGCTCGTACGACTCTTCTTCCCCTCGGAGCTTTTTCAATTTACTAACGGAAATCCAGGCAGTAAAGCGCATTCAATCAACTGCTGCTGCTAACTTTGTTGTGAGGTGGGATCGGTCGGTCGGTCGGTCGATGGCATTAAATTTATATGTCAATAAATCTCGAAGAGCAGAAGGCAAACGCCAAGTCATTGGCTTTTGCGGATGTGTGAGTAGTGCAGCTGGGAGGGAAAGTGGGGAGATGGGAAGCTGGGGAGCTGGGAAAACTTATTAGCCGCCGCGTTTAAGGCTATTAAACCGAGCCAGGTGGTGGGAGGTCGTGCCACATACACGGCTATAAATCAGAGGCCTGACATGGCCAGCAATATGTACCTATAGCCCACAGGGCTTCGCAGGGGAAAGGGTGGAAGGGTGGAAAGTGGGAGGGAAAGTCCAGTGACAGTTTGCCGATACAAAGGATTAACATAACGGCTCAATAGCACTGAACCTCTGCTTAAATTTGACAAATTCCCGTGGCTTGTTGTGTGTGTGTAGGAGTCACCTGTAATGCGAGATTTGATTAAGTGCTCACGAATGTCCTTCGAGGACTCCCACTGCTTACCAGAGTAGTTTAGTATTTAATCGGTTTCCTTGTGCAACCCATTTAAATTGCAATCCTTTAGCTTTCATTTCTTTTTTCTTTTCTGCGATACTTTTACATAAATCCATATTTCCGGTGGATTTCACAGCAGTATCACTTCAATTCAGCTGCATGCCACTTTGTCCTTGGTGATTTCATGTTGCCACAGCAAGGAGCTAATCGCACACATGTAAGCACATTTCTCAAGCTTTTCCATCCTTCACTCGTGTGTGCTCGTTTGAGGATGTGGATGTGTTCCTTTGTTGCTGGTGGATACAGTTCATTTTCGGAGTCCGTATGTGCGTATGCGTAATATTTCGTCACTGGTTTTTGCGGCAGGCTGTGTGCGATGTGTGTTTGCCGGATTTAAGCGCTTGTTATTAATCAGTCAGTCAGTCGGCTGGCAAGCCACTGACCCACTTCACACCCTGTGCCGCTCTTTGGCGCATCCTGCTCTTGGCATAAATCTCAGACAACGCGTCGTATGAGCGATGTCAAATGCAGGCGAGCCTGGGATGCCTGGGAAGTGCCGCCCCCCCAACCGGTTGGCCATCATTAATAATACTTTTTAGTTTGCATACCAGTGCGTGGGTGTGCGGTGTGATGTGTGTGGTGTGTGGCCCGCCTTTTTGGCTAACAAATTGCCTGGCTCAGGGCACAACAAAATTGCAATTAATCAAGCAGACAAAAATCTGCCCCAAGTCCCAGGCAAAGCCCCACTTCTTTCGTATGATTTCGTGGCCTGACTAATCAATGATTGAGGGCGCATCCACTTCTAGTCATCGATAGCTGGAAAGTTATCCTGCCAGTCGAGAGTTCTGGCCTGGTGCTTATCCGCAGAAAGGAATCCCGAGGACTTAGCCAAAATGCCTAGAAAAAAAGAGAGGATAAGCATAAAAGGCGACCCAAGAAATTAAATTATTTGTTGGCCAAGGCAGACGAGGAAATGGAGTCCAGGAAGGAGCTCTAAAAAACGAGCCTGACAACAAGGCCATACAGATTGCACACACGTGATTACGCTGAGAGAAAAGCCGAGGTACATTTCACAAGTTTCGTGACCGAAGGGTAAAGTAATAAAAAGAAATTGATTTAAAAAGCTCGAATTATACTTGAGTAATTCTGATGATGATATGGGGCTTTTCTTATTGGCTTATCATTTGAAAACTGTAGTAATTTATCTCAGTGCATAAGCCCATATTTATGTGTGTCGTATGTATGTGATGGCTTCGTTCGTCTGACTGGGCAACAAGTGAAAATCCATTTGTTAGAGGAAATCGTGCAAAAAGCTTAAATACGAAGCTTAAACATAAGTAGCAACGAATGCCGCACACACACCCTCGCACACACACAACCACCCCTTGAAATACATATGCGCACATATGTATATGTGTATGTGTATGTATATGTATATGTATATGCATATGTGGAGCAGGCCAAAAACTAAATGAAGCTGCCTGCGTTTTACCTTCGATGGGGGTTCACTCTAACTTTTTACTCGGCTTTTACCGACTCTGCTGTGGGTTCATCTGCACGGGAAATTCATTCTTTGGTCTCAATTCTAAGAGTGAATTGTGTGAAAAGGCTCTTATCAAAATTCTCAATAATTGTTTTTAGGAGTAACATTCAGCAATCTGTGTCTTTGTTGTTTTGTTATGGTTTATTATTAGATTTTTGTCGCCAGTAAATAAATTAGTATACGGAGGCGTTTATTTGCACTGGAAATTCATTCTTTGGTCAATTCATTCTTAGATTGTGTGAAAAGGATCTTATCAAAATTCTCAATAATTGTTTTTAGAAGTAACATTCAGCAATCTGTGTCTTTGTTGCTTTGTTATGGTTACATTTTGGATTTATGACGCCAGTAAATAAATTAGTATACGGAAGCGTGTGCGATATTTGTAATGTCTTGGATTAAAATTGCCTAAAAATATTAAAAAAAAATATTATTATAAAAATAATATTATTAAAAGGTGTGGAAAAGAATTTTCCTTGAAGGGTATACAGTTATCTCCGCTCTCACAAAAACATTTTCCTTCTACCTTTTTGTGCTTTCTTTCCTTTCTTCCCGTTCTCCCTCGACCGCTTCTACCGTTGTTGTTGTTGTTGTTGTTGGGACTTCGTCTTAGCTTTTAACGTGTTTTACCGTTCGTTTCTTTTTGCGCATAAAATGAGCAGGTAACAGGTTTGTTCGAGTGTGTGTGTGTGTGCGTTTGTGTGTGTGTGTGTTTGTGCATGGTTCGACTCCCTTGGGTAAATTTTCGTATTTAAAATATATGACCAAGAAATTTTCAAACATTATTTTTTAATTTTATTTTTTTCCCGACCCGCCGCCCCCAAAGTTCTTGCGCACTTTTCTTGCCGCAAATCAATTTGCCAAAAGGGGAAGAGGAGAACAAGGAGCACAGCGGAGCGGAAAGGATTGCCAAGTAGACTCTGTTAGGGGTGTTCTTCCCGAATTTATGTTGCATGCACCCCGGACGACGGGGTACTTTCGTGGAGTGGAGCGCAAGGAAATGCATTAAGTCCCGGGATGGAACGTTTCGGATCTGCGTTTCGGATTGTCCTCAGCGAACAAGGTGGATATACTCGTGAATGTTCTTAAACTCTCGTACAGAACAAGAACCACCGAAAAGGGAGCCGAAACCCCGATAATGCTGAAACTGAGGCAATGATGTCGACTGGGAACTTTATGGCGCAGATTGCGGCCTAAATTAGCTGCTTGATGGATCTGACGGATAACTTTGGATATCACTTAATATAAGAAATACAACAATTGAAAGATAAGCAAGGTAAAGTGGGCAGAATGTTGCGGGCAAAAATCCTACAACTAAATTATAATTTATCCACAATAGAATCCTGGCATAAGTAGTAGAAAAAACAGATAAAAATGAAGTCAAGTTGTTTTTGGATACAGTCAGATATTCCTTAAATTATCATCAGGGGCAAGTATTCGAATATCGCCTGCCGACTTAGCATAAATCCCATCAACACATTTACGGCACGTTTGAGTAATAAACACAATAGTACCTTCTGATAGAAGAAACTTGCCTATGCAATAAAGATAGAAGACCCACAATAAAATCCTAGGATACACTAATTAAGAACTCTCTGCCGATTTATTTCGCGTTTGCGGTAATGGATGGTAAACATTTGATGAGGACAAATAAAAATCAATGCTGTAAGAATCGAGAGAAATCAGTTGATTTATTTGCAGGGCGATGATAATGAAGCGGACGGTACAATATAGTATATCGCAGTCGAACAGAGAGAACATCGAACCTGGATAGTCTGGGTGCGGCGATAAGGCTGGCGCAAAATAGTTGGCCACAGCGCAGCCAGTCCAATGTGCAAAGAAAACAATCACGCTCACGGTTAGCGGACATGACTCCCTGAAAAAGCCGACCCGAGAATAGCCCACAAAAATACGGCCAAAAGCCGATCAAGTGCTGCTATTCTGGCGGGTTTGGGGATTTTTTGGGTTTAAAATGTCCAAAAAGGTCAAAGAATTACATTTTAATTGATTAAAACGCTAAGGCTGTCACTTTCCTAAAAGTATTTTGCTACTTATAATAATTATCTTTAATTTAGTAAGAGTTCAGAGGCTTCATTTTCAACTAAAAAGTTTTCAGAGAACTGCCACTCCCCTTCAAGTCCTTTGTGGTTCTAAGAAAAAGGTGTTGACTAATCCATTTCTTCAATTTGTATTCCTTTGGCGAACTGAGAAACCTTTATTTACTGTTTCTTTCTGAAAATGCAAAATAATATCTTTTCTATTTTAACAATTAAAATCAATTGATATGTTCGATTGTAAAAATGTTAAACAGAAATGTCAGCACTGGAAAGAGCGAACCATTGGCAGATAAGATTAAGTGGTTCTCGGCCATAGGTGCCCCTTCCGCGGGCTCCTATAAAAGCCCCGATGTCTGAGGCTGTGCCAGTCATTAGCAATTATCAGATTACTTAGAAATGGCGAGTAATTGGTGGCGACTGCTTCCAGTGGGCCTGTTCCTAGGGCTAATGCCTGGCATGACTCAGCAGGTGGGGTTGCGCGCCATCGCGAATTCGAATTTCGCCAATTCGGAAATGTTTTGATTGTTTACAAATTTTGCAGGCAAGCCTGCTCGACACCGATTACTATACGGCCGGTGTGGTGGAGTTCCGCCAGTCGATCCTCAGTTCTTCGGCCTCGGACTCGCTCGAGGGCTACGTGGAGATAATACACTCCGAGAACGCCAGCTCCACGGACATAATCGTCTTTCCCGAGAGCACCCTCAACTCGGCCTCCTCCACGTCCTTTGTGCCCAATCCCGACGATCGGATTAGCCCCTGCTTGAGTGACCCCAACGCCACCTACTACGAGGAGTTCCTGGTGACCCTGTCGTGTGCGGCCCGCAACGCCAGCAAGTACATCGTGATCAATCTCACCGAGAAGCAGAAGTGCGAGGATGTCCCGGAGGACACAAGACCCTGTGCCTCGAACGGTCTGAATGTGTTCAATACGAACGTGGTCTTCGATCGCCAGGGAGTGGTGATCTCCAGGTACCGAAAGGTGCACCTCTATGGTGAGGCGAAGAACAGCACCTTCGTGCCAGAACTGAGCACCTTCGAGACGGACTTCGGGGTCACCTTCGGGCACTTCATCTGCTTCGACATCCTGTTCTACACGCCGGCACACCAGCTCATCGTGGAGCAGGGAGTCACGGACTTCGTCTACCCGGCCATGTGGTTCTCCCAACTGCCATTCCTCACAGGTGAGACACGGACACAGACACGGACACACCAACCGAAATGAGATAAAGAAGGTGGGGCTGGTCGTTCCCTTATCGCGACAATCGATCGCTAATTGATGGCTCTCGCCACCTCTCGAGATGAAGTGCTCTGAACCGATTATGCACTGGAAAAAGCGTTCGCTATCAGGTTGTAAAGTCTTCAAAGTCGTTAAGGGCGGGCCATAAAGCAGCGAGACGAAGCCATTTACAGTGGGATCCCCTGGCGTAAAAATCTGAAAAGAAGTGACAACTGATAGACTTTCGGCTTCTCTTCGACAGCTGTTCAGACCCAACTGGGCTGGGCCTACGCCAACGATGTGAATCTGCTGGCCTCCGGGGCCAGTCGGCCCTCCATCGGGAACAGTGGCTCGGGCATCTATCACGGACGGTCGGGCAGCTTGACCAGTGTCATGAGGCAGGACTCCGGCGAGCGGAGCATCTACGTGGCCCAGGTGCCGAAGTACTCCCGCAGCAGATCCCTTCAAAAGCGAGTGAGGAGGAGCTTGCCCGAGGTGAAGTCCCGGCAGGCGGCGTCGACAACTAGTTTCTACATGAAGAGGGACTACCTGGAGAACTACGAGACTGAGTTGCTGCAGTTTGAGGGAGTGAGTGGCACCGTCAACACAACCCTCTGCCAAGGCGGCTTCTGCTGCAACTTTGATCTGGCCTGGAGGTCCCTGGGAAGTGCGGTGGAGAACGGCAGCTACTACAGCTACCGGATGGGAACCTACGACGGCTGGCGCAACGAGCAGCGAGTGGACGCCAACTACATCCGCAACTGTGGACTGTTCGCCTGCTCCGGAGACTCAATCGATGATTGCGGCACCCTGTTGACGACCGAGGACAGTTTGCAGCAGCCCCGGGTGGCCTTCACGCGTCTGGCGATCAGGGTCAGCTATCCGGAGTCTCGGGAGTTCCTTCTGTTCCCCAGCACTGTGCTGGACACCCTGTTGCCCCTGGAACCCAGCCAGTTTGAGATGTCCCAGCAGGTGTCCCCTGAAAATAGGTAAGCCCCTTTCTTTATAAAAAAATATTCTTACGTTTTTGGAATGTTATGATCCTTAGCCACGTGTACGATGTTCGCATTGCGCTCAAGGAGTCCCAGGAGGTGAGCAACCTACTGACTTTCGCCGTCTACGGAAACTACTACGACAATGAGTGTACTTTCGGCGAGGGAAGTGAAGAGCAGCAACTGGCCTGCGGTTATAGAAGTGGATCCATGGGACTGACAATCCCGGCCGGATGGCTACTGATATCGCTGGTGGCTCTGGCCAGCATCTGGACCCCAACTAATTAAGATCAGGGAACCTTGGTGACTGTATCAAGCCACAAATTCTAAACACATTTTTTTTTGATATGAACATTGATTATAAAATACAAACTCAAGAACAATTATAAAGTGTTTTTCATTGAATTTGAGCTTTAAATCCCACAGGTGATTCAGAAAAACTAGGTAAAGTGCTTACTAAATGATGGCTCTCACCAAACTCTTGAGATACCATGTGTTCCCCGGTCAATGGACAAGTGGGTAAAGCCATTTAATCTGTGTTTGCCACTTTAAATCGAACTCGTGGACAATTTTATAAACTTATTTAATAACTATATTAATAACTATAAATCAGAAATAATGAAAACCTATTATTATCACTTCTAAAAAGTGGTAGAAGACTTGTCCGCCCAAAAGTCTACTTCACCGATCGGCTTTAAAGCTTTTCACGTGTATTGGCGCTGATTAGCGATTGGGACGATTAGAGTGAGAATCTAGCCATCTCGCAATCAGGCGATAGCTGATATGGCTTGACACAGAAATGTGTATATGGAATAAAACCAAACCGGTTGGGATCAGTCGGCTTCTGATCGTTGAACTTTCAGCACCAAGATGGCATGCCTCCGTCGCTTTCTGTGGCTCCTCAGTGTTTCTGTCTCGTTCGCCGCGGCCAACAATGCATTTTACACAGCTGGTGTGGCGGAGTACCGTCCAGAGATAATGGGTACCTCGCAACACCTGTTGGAGTCCAATTTGGAGGGCTATCTAAAGCTCATTGCCTCGGCCAATGGAACCACGGATATTATCGTCTTTCCGGAGGCCACTTTAAATGGTGTACTCACACTGACCGCGGTGCCTCAATTCACCGAACTGAGTTTGTGCGAAGAGCAGCCTGGAGATGACACCGAAATAGCTCCTTTTTTAAGGCGTTTGGCATGTGCCGCCAGGGAATACAACACGTACCTCGTGGTCAATGTGAAGGAACGCGCTGTGGAGGAATGTCCTTCGGAAAGTACCTGCTCCAATGGCGGCCAGGTTGTTTATAACACCAACGTGGTGTTCGACAGGCAAGGAGCTGTGATCTCGCGTTACAGGAAGTGGAACCTCTATCTGGAGCACTCGACCAATCGCACCGAGTTCCCCGAACTTGCCACCTTTGCAACCGACTTCGGGGTCACCTTCGGCCACTTTATCTGCTTCGACATGCTCTTTTACGAGCCGGCGCAAGACTTGGTGGAGCGATTGGGCATCCGTCACGTGATCGTCACCAAAATGTTTAACTCGGAGCTCCCCTTTCTCACAGGTAACGTAAATACCTTCGTAAACTATAACGTAGCCTAGAAATTAGGCCATAAACCAAGAATTTTTTTTTTTTTTCTCTTTTTTTTTTTTTTTAATTTTTTATTTTTTTATAATTAATAATTTGTAATTATTTTATAATTAACACCTCTCGTTGCTCCCATGCAGCTTCTCAATTCCAGCAGGGTTGGGCCTGGGCCAACAGGGTGAATGTCCTGGCGTCCGGAGGAAGTCTTCCGCAGGCGGGGATCAGTGGGAGTGGCATCTACTCCGGTCAAGGAGGCGCTCTGGCCCGTCTAATGATCTCGGATGCTGCAGAAGGTGAGAGAAGGTTGCTCCTGGCGCGGGTTCCCTTGAATCCCGAGGAGCAGACGTCCTCGAATGAGACTTTGGAATCGGGCGAGATGAGTCCTACGAAGCTGAAACTTCTGCAGCAACCGGAACTGAAGAACTTCACCACCTGGGAGTTGCCTATGGTCACCGGCAGTTCGGTGAACAAAAGGATCTGCCAGAAGGACCTGTGCTGTGATTTCCAGGTCAGTTGGAACTTGGAGGGGGCCTCACCAGGATATAACTATCGACTGGGGGTTTGGGTGGGCGAAAGGCGCTATGAGGAGGAGCAGTACAGTTCTATTCGCCTGTGTGGCTTGTTTTCCTGTCGCGATTCCGATGTGGAAAGTTGTGGGCTAATCAGCGAGCAGCAAGGATACAAAGTAGTGTTCACCGAAGTTCAGATCCTTGGGGAGTTCGTCCGAAAGCCACGACGCCTCATTATGCCTAGCACTCTCAGCTTCCCCGACCTCTATGCCCTGCAACCATCCCAACTATCTTGGTCGTCGGAGGAAGCGGATAACGTAACCCTGATTAAGATGGAGCTGCGACAACCACATAACCACCTAATGACCTTCGCCATATACGGCAACTACTTCGATGAGTTTGCGAATGGAGGGTCCACCACAGTCGAGGGCAGCAAATTGGTAACTCTGCTGTTTTTGCTAATTATGCCGTTTACGTTGACGTATCTCATCCGATAATAGCTGAATCAAAATTACTCACCTATTTATCTTACTAACGAATTAATCAACACTGGTTGAAGGCTTGGTGAAATGCTTTTGTAACATTTTGTTTATAAAAATGTATAATTTTGAAAGATTAGTTTATAGATATAATTTCTATTAAATGCTGGCAAAACTATTAGATATGGACAAGTTTATTCACTGTCAGTCATTTCTCACAAAATTGGTTAAGTGCTCTGTAATAAATCAAGAAAGCGGTCTATAAAAATTTAGATTTATTCGAGGGGCTGTCAAAACGATTTGTTTCTCTTTGTCGCCTGGACTCATTAAAATCAATGCGTGTATGCGTGAGTGTGTGTGTGTAAGTGTTGCATTTGCTGCGGGATGCACTTTATATTTGCCGTTGCTTGTGTAGTTGCCCTTAAGCTGGCACATTGTAATTAAGTGCTGCTTAAACAGACACACACTAAAAAAAATTGTGCGAACAAACACCCAACAAAATGTTTTCCATTTGAAAATTGCTAGATTTTTAATATCCAATAAATAGTTCCTTCAATAAGTTTTTTTCAGTATACAACTTAATACCTTTACTAAATAATTTTTGTTTTTCAACAAAAAATGAATAAGAGAGTTTGAGAATATTATCCCATTTTTTTTTTTAACACAAAACCGGTCAGAGGTCTCTATAACATTTAATGTTTTTCTTGCTGTCTATTAAACCGCATCACGTTGTCTAGTTGGTTGCCTAATTTATGGAAATCGAGGCATCGGCAATGGAACGGTGTCAAGTTCATGTCATTAAGGTGTAATTAACAAAAATTAGTTGCTGCTTAACGGGACCAAGAGCAATCCACCCTGAAGCCCCCCAAACATCCCGAAAAACCTTGCAGTAACCGCTCCCCTTCTCCCCAAATAAGAGGCGCCTAAGTGAGAGCAACAGTGTGCTGGCTGGAAAAGCAACAGCTAACGGAGATGCCACCCTCCCCCAACCGAAAACCCCCCACCACCCACTCAATTTAGCAGGTGAAGCAACACATGAAGCTCGCGTCGCTGCTCGCGTCGCAGTCGCTTTATCAGCCCGCGGCGACGTCAAAAACCGAGCAGCGTCGAAAGTTTTCATTCATTTCAACTGTTGCTTTCCACTTGTTAGCACACGAGGCCGACTGGAAGTTTAAGGAAAGGCCGACTGGAAAAGCAGCACCCCAGCAACGAAGCGCTCTCGGTGGAAAGTCTCCATAGAGAACACCTGAGCACAGTGGGGGATTTAATTATCTGTATAATAAAATATAATGAAGTTGAAATCAGCATTAGTTTATGCCAATCAGATTTTTAGTTATTACAAAACATATTTAACTGTTTGTAACTAAAAATGATTATATTAAGCATGTAAGTTTTTATTTTAATATATATTTAATATAATAAATTATTATGAATGGATCTGAATTTTTATTTAAACTAAAGACTAAGATGACCACTGTGGGAGGTGCGTAGGCTGGGGCGTGTAGAGTTTTCTTTAGGCAGCGTGTAGACTGCGTTATATGTATTTGCCTTGAATTATTCAAGCAGATATGTTTTATGAATCAGGATGAAGCCGCTGCGCTTTTGGACGTCCATGCTTGCGAAATGCAATTAACGCAAAAGGACAGTCAGCTGGCAGGCATCCGAACTTCCATATAAAAATCCTTTTCAGTCGATCGTAGAAGCATTAATAGGAGGAGCTGATATTTTAATTTCTGCGGGATATTTTTTTGTCCTAATATAATTGTATTAATTAGGGAATACGTTGACGGCATTTAACTGTTAGCATTCCACAACTGTTTGGAGAGTGAAAAGAAATGAGAGAGGATGGAAGGGAATGATCGAATTCCCATAAGCCTCACTGCGTGTCGGTCTTATTCTCTGCATTTCTTATCTTAGTTCGTTTTAAAACATAGGCGCGTGCGCATCGAAAAGTCAGTGGTGAAATGCCTTTTTTGATTTTATGTGTGTGTGTAGAGAGAGGTGATCTGCACCTTGACCGAAGAACTGTAAAAGAGATGCTTATCTTGAGTTTGAGCTAAAAACAATTTTAAGGCGCAATACCTTCTTATTTTCGGTTTCCTTTTGGTCGTCTTGGATTTCAACTGAAGAGCAGGTAAAGTTTATAACAGGTAACTACAAAATAAAGAGTAAAGACCCTACTGGCCCCAGTTTCATAAATTATACTGACCCTAAATTGATTTAAATATTTGTATAAGCCATTTTAATCGTAAGTTTTGGTACATTTGGCGAAATATATTGGTGAAGTCTCCCCTGAGTTTCCGATTCCGGTCTGGTGTTTCGGTGGTGTCCGTTCGTGTTCAGTCGTTTTCGTCCGTGTTCGTGCACGTCGCTGCCAGCTTCGCCGCCGACGCTCTGCTGCTCTGCCGACGCGTTGCGTGCTTTGGCAAACGTAACAGCACATTCTGCGGAAGCTTTCGGCGCGTGTAACATCCAAACATCCAGTAGGCGTTCAGCCTCCGAGCGGATAACACTGCGTTGTTGTAGTTCTTGGAGTCCCAGCGATACGATACACACACCACCCATTTAAACACACACCCATTAAATAAAATACCAGAGAGCCAGCCATACCAAAATCAACACTAAATACCGTTGGCATTCAAGTTTAAAATAAATGAAAATAAATTAGTGCGTGTCAATAAAAAAGTTAATAGATTTTTTTGCAATTTTTTTAAACTTTTTTTTTGAGTTTTTCACGTCAAAAAATATATAAAAGTGCCTTACAATACAACAAACCACAGATCTTTAAAAAAGGTTCTAAAAAACTGTATGGCTTTAAAAGGATCTGAAGTGGTTTCCCTCTTTTATTTAAGTTCACATTCAAAAAATACGAACAAATCTTTTTCGTTTATTGTTATCATTATTTATCTCAAGAAGTACCAAAAAATTGTTTTCAAATCTTCCCATTAAAAAGGTGCTTGAGTTTTTTTTTTAATAATTAAAGCCTTAAAATAGATTCTTTTTCCGTGAACATTTTTTTTAGCAATATCTTTTTTTAAAGTTTTCTAATATTGACAGAAAATCTTGTATGATTGCGATGGAATAAATATCTAACGGTTTGGCGCGACATATTGTTTTAAACTTTATATTAATGTAAATTGTTTAATCCCGATTTGTGTTTTAATGAAAAGAGTTTTTGTATTCGTGTTTGGAATGTGTTTTTCTCGGTAGCCCAAGGTATTTTGGCATCGAACGCCGACGGGCGATTTACAACAACAAAAATTAACAATAGTGGACTTCCTGGGCGCGCAACTTTTGTTTTGAAACTCAATATAGTTCTATATATGTATGTTTAAATATGGCGATCTCTATCGCACACGTACACACATGCTTCCTCACACCCCTATTAAAAGCCCAATGTTTGTTTTTTTTTTTGGTTATTGTTGTGACTTTGGCAGAGACACCAGAAAAAAGACAACATCAAGCTGAACGCGAATTAAAAATTCGAAAAATCCAATATTAATATTGAAACAAAGCGAGCGAAAAGTTGTTGGAAAGCAAAAAGCGGAAAAGGAAAATCACAAGGCAAACAACAAGTTTACAAGTAAAAAGACCTTCGGAACAATAAAAGGTGAGTGAATTTGCAAATATAACTTGATTTAAAAAATATTGCGCATACGCAACGTAGGTTGGTGGTGGTTTTAAATGCCGAAAACTGTTTAAAAAATTTCAGAGATTGTGTTTGCAAAAAGAATGTGATAATAGAATCGACTTTGCATGTATCTCGAGATGTTGTTCTGGAAAATTACGCATACGTAGCGTTGGCTTAATGGCTTTAAGCAAAACGTTAAGTATGTAACTGATTTTTTAATCAAATATGTTTTTAGAGCGAGTAGGTAACAGTAATATAATATAAAGTGAAAGGTACATTAACATTAAAGCAATAATTCTCTTAAAGATTGTGCGCTGAAATATTGTAAACCACAACCTTGATTTCACAGTTTTTATCGGCCTTTTAGTATTTTCCTTGTGCCTTCTGTTTGCCCGATGCTTTCTTAATAGTTTCCTCGGGCTTTGTGAGCCGTCGAACCGACTGTTTACAATTCGATTTTGCATTCTTTTAACATTCCCATTTCTCACTCACTTCTTTCTTAATTTTTTTCGGAACTTGTCTTCACATTAATTGTTCATTGATGTTTGTTCTCTCATTCTCCAAATGATTTTCCCTTGGCTGCTTCCTGTGATTTAATAGAAGTAGAGTCTTCTTGGGTAAACCAATGGATTTTTCATTAACCGCGCGCCGAATCAAAGTTTGCCAACTGTGCGTATGATTAATATCTTAAAATATGCGCCAGATTGTGGAGCGAATTATCAAAAGAAAAAGTTTGTCGGAAGAGGGAATCGGATCGGGGCACTGGACATGGGCTCATTGGAAATGTTTTTTCCTTAATTATTGGCCAAACGGCATTAAATTTTCAAGTATTTACTAAAGCTTAACAAAACACAAACACAAAGCGAACACATTTTCCTCGATTTTCCTCGATTTTTCACTAAATAAATATGTGTGTATCTTTGGCTGTACATAAGATTATCGAGTACTGGAGGCATTTGGCAATTGGCAGCTGTTCGATCTGTATCTGTATCAATAAAATGCCCTCTCTCTTTCTTTCAATTTATTCTCTCCGATTTTCTCTTTATTTACTTGTCCGGATTTTGCTAAATGAATTGATTATAAAGACCATTGGGGGGTTGGCATATGTCTACACACATATTTTTATGCACATATCTAAACAATTAGCAAACAATTTTCGTTTTTTTTTTCGGTCGACCTTTTTTTTTTGTTGTTTTTTTGCCTTATTTTTTCTGCACTTTCTTGGGTTTTTCCTTTTCTTTCAGTAAATTGAATTAACGCTAATTGTAATTGTGAATGTAAATGTAATGCGCGAACATCAAGCGAGATCTGAAAAACAAACACACACACATGTGGGTATATAGAAAATCCGGACGGACTGAAAATACGGACGGATCTAGACAACCGGACGGACATGTAAACAGAGGCAAGCCAAAGGTAACAAATGGCTTTTCAAATAAATTAGCGGGCGGCTATTGTAAACAGAGACAGACAGAGAAAGAGCAGCATACTCTATATAGGGATAAAGGCGAGAAAAAGAGAGGGCTAGAGAATGCTAGAAAGAGAGAGAAACTCACTCGATACGGCCAAATGGAGATGGAATTTGTGACCAGCGGGTTGCCCAATTAATTACTGCATTTTGCATGGCCAGATAAATCGAAAATAGTTTTAATTGATATCATGCAAATATGGATAATCATTTTGAATGTGTTTTCGTTTCGCTCGGTGTTTAATTAGTAGCGCAATGTTATTCAAGTTGACCAGTTATATCGCTTCATTCATTGAAAGACGTTAATGGTAAATGTAATCCAATAACTGCAAAATATTTTAATCTTTCCGTGTTAATTTTTTATCGGTTAGGTGGGGTTAAACCTAAATTAAAGAATGCAGTTTTGATTTTATGATGGCTTTATGATCTGCTGCCATAAGGGCTTATTTGATATTGCAAGGGGTAATATTTTTTTGAGCAACCCTCGCAGAAAGGGATTGCTTGTGAAGGGGATTGCAGCAGCTTTAACCGGTTGTGACTGGTTTATCGAAATTCTCATTTTTGGAAACTATCCGCACTGCACCCACCCGAAGTATTTGCATTAAGCGTCCATCGACAGAGGGCAGCGTTCATTAATTATAAAATTACAGTTTGCAATGGGTATTTAGGGGGTAGTGCGATTGGGAAGTGGTTGGGTGGTTCCATGGGTGGTGGGTGGTGGGTGGTGGTGCACAGACAGACCATTCCGCGATGCACATGGCTTACGGGGGAGCACTCAGCTCATTCAATTGCAAAGCAATTCGTGGAAAACCCAGCCGAGTGTATCGGTGTGTGTATGTGTGGGTGTGTGTAACTGAACTTTTGCATTTGTATGCGTGTGCCACTCTTCTTCTTGCCACTCTTCTTTTGTGCTGTTTGCTGTTTGCTCTGCCCCGCGTTTGATATGCAAAATTCAAAATGTTTACCTTGAAATATGCCATGTCACTTTGCAAGCGATGCGAGTTGAATACTCGATGGAGCACAGTCGGAAAGAGAAAGAGCATCGGGAAGAGAAAGGGACAGGGCTATATGGAGATAGACAGGGATAGTAGGCACATTGCTGAAATGCGAAATACTCATGCACATTGTGCACATTATGCTGCCTGACAGGTGAACTGCACAGGAACCCAAATGGACGAACACTTGGAAAAACTCATCTGTTAAGCTGAATAAGAATAGGTTTTCATATTAAATTATAAACTTAACCTTTTTATTAATAGTATTTCAGACAATTTATTTTCTTTAGTTCGACCTGCAAGACTTCTTCATTTTGTGAGAAGAATACCTCCTGATTTTCAAACATATTCCTTATTCTTTCTCTGCAACCTGGCTATGGGATTTTCATGAGCTTCAGTCGAACGGTCTCCGGTTAATGAGAAAGGCGGTCGAGGAATCGGGGCGTGGCAACTCGTAGCCTGCCACATTTGATGAGCTGCTCTGCGCTGCCCGAAGTTTCACCAACGGTTAAGTTGAATGTTGGAGGTCACCGGAGTTTCAAGGGGAGTGTTGTGCCACGTTACTGGGAGTTCCTCACTTATTACCAGGTATGGTCAGTGGCCAGTGGATGGCAAACAGGTCAGGTAACACGGTCACTGTTGCCTGTTTTCCGTTTTCCGAGCGACGTTTCACCTGTCATTTAGCCCGGCATGTGCGATGATCAGCTTATGCGCTCATGCGGTTGCAGTTCGAATTCCTCAGACTTTATCTACGAAATATTTCTGAGAGAACTCGGAATAATGTTCAATGTTTTTGGACAGGAATATAACACTTTCCTACGACTTCAAGGTGCTTAAAAGCAGAGATTTATAACCTATCTTCTTATCGTTATGTTTTACTTAAATTTGTGTTAATAAATCAATGCTGATAGGTATATGCCCAATAATGTGAGACAGCACCTGAAATCAATGAAATTGTTCTGTGCCACATGGCACGCCCAACCCGCCCAGACACTTAACCTTCGACCTGGCTGCATTCCTCCTCGACCCACCTGCCACCTGAGTTAAACTCCATTTCCGGACAATTTCAACTTGTCTGTGGCAATTCAATATGGCAGCAGCATTTCCGGCTTCAGGTTTCTGCATGCAGCTGGGCTTTTGTCATTGCATTTTCCATGATGCGTTTTCCCCTCAATCTCTTTTGTAGAACATTTCCTTGAAATTACCACATGCAATTACATTTTCTGTTTATTTGCGGCTTCGTCTCCAACCGAAGGCGCTGGAAAGTTTTCTTTGGGCGGGGGAAAACCTGTAAGAAGACTGTGGTAGGCGTTAAAAATGGGCGCTCCAAAAAGAGGAAGAACAGACAGGCCAAAAGGAGCTTGTGGAGCTGCGCGTTTTGTTAACCACGAATACATTTTAATTAGCAGCTAAAATATTCAAACTGAAAATTGCCCTTTGCCTGGAAGGCAACCAAGCACCCAAAACTCCTACTCCACTCTGCCGGCCCCTTCAAACACCCAAAACACCCAAAACAACCACCAACCGAAGCCACCCACTCACCCACTCATCCACTCACCTGTGCCTGTGCTTGTGTTTGTTTTTGTGTGAGCCCTCAGCCCAAAAAGTTTGCCAGCCTCAGCAGTAACAGCTTCCACAGACACAGGGAGAAATGTATAATAAAATGTTTTTAAAGTTTTAAAGCTCAATATGTGTAGTTTAATTCCCAAAAAACCTAATCTATTTAAGAAAACTACTGTAGTGATACAATCAGGGTGTTTTCTCTTCCGTGGTCGCAGCAAAAGCGATCTTTATTTCATAATCTCTGTTAATACTAATGTTAATTCTGTTATTTCACAGTCTCGTATGTGCAAGAGAGAGACGTACATACTTAGAGATGGGTTTACATGGTGTTTCTTAAAGGAGTAAGGGGGACATAAAGGATGACTTAACTTAAGGAATATATAATAACGTTAACTGCTTATCAAGCAGTGCTTAATAATAGGTATATGTACATAGGGCTGCTTGCTACACTACATACATATAAACAATTTTATATGTGTTTTTGTTTGTGGTCTATTTACCCTTAATACTTCACACCTTCTTTTTCTCTGTGCAATCCCCTTGAAAATGACTATGAATTTTACAGTTTAGAGAATACGAGAGCGGAAAAGAAAGTCCGAGGTTGGGGGAACCTTTTCTCGAAATTCTTGTGAAAATATGTCAGCAAAAGATGAAGGAACAAAACCGAAATTGTATATATACGTATGTATGTATGGTATATTCACTGGTGCATATTTACGTAATAATAATTATCATAAACATAATTTTTAAAGACTGTCTGCAGTTTAAAATGTTTGCTGCCCACGGCGGCAAGGGAATTGAATGAAATGAAATTTTTAAGTCGTTGACTGCGCGGCCCTCATGAATTTTTATTCAAAAAAATCTTCACATTTCGAAAAAGTTTGGCGCCCGAGCGAAAGTCTGGAAAAAGCGTATGAAGTTCGGGGAATTTAAATTGCAAAACTGCGGTGAGG